CAACCAATACGAACTAATCCCACGCTTATGATGGAGCTTGCGATCTCCACGGGAGCGAGGACTATAGCAGTTTGTGTTCCTCCGTAGGCCGCTCTAATGGATTGTAGCTTGATGTCCTTGTAGCGCGAATCCAAGTTCGAGAGAGCGTCGAGGATCTCATCTTTCGTTGTAATACCGTCGATATCTTTGATCTCCAGCTGCATCATATGTGAAAGGGTTTTAACATCGGCCGATTCTCCCAGTACTCGCTTGACCTCCGTCTGGAACTTTTGCTTCTCTTCAACCCCGGTTTTCTTTAATTCTAAGAGCAAATCCCCATTGCTAGTCTTCCGGATGCCTTTCACAGATCTGCCGAGCTCCGCTAGCTGTGAACTCGATTTTACCTGCTTGAGGATATCAGCGTATGATCTTGCGTCTTTAGAGTTCGATTTTATAACGATTGCGTCCGGCTTTGATTTAATTCGCGGGCGCTTCTTAACGACAGTCCATTCAGGATTAGCACGCTTCGGTTCCAGTGCCGCTGGAGGACAATCGGATGGCTCTTTTGTCGCACGCAGAGCAGCATTTTTATTTCGCTTTGCTTGCGGGAGCGGATCGCTAGCTTTTGGTCTAGCGCGTTTCCCTGAATTCTTCTCGGGTATATGAGGAGGTTCTTGCGTGTCAACAGGTTTTTGTTGATTCTTCTCGGGAGAATGAGCAAACTCTTGTGTGCCAACTGTTTTCTGTTGGATCGCCTCGGATACCTTCGCGTAAAGGAGCTTTATGGCATGCATTATTACCCTCATTTGCATATATATAAGTATATATATGTATATATATAAGTATATATACATTCTAATATTACTACACAAAGATGATCTCTTATTTTTTACTTTTGTAAAACTGACTACGACTGCAATATGAATGAATTTCAATTCCATAGATTTTAGTTTATTTAGTTTGTAATTAGCTTTTTAAACTGATATAAAATAAAGACATTTATTTATCTTCTTTTTGGTTGTTTGTGTTTCCGACGGGGTAGGAGTATGATGTATTGTGCAACGATTTTCCGTCATCCCTTGTCAAATTTGGTTTGGAGACAAACCGGTTTCGGCGCTTGCCATCTTCAGTGTCATTTTTCGTTCGAATTTGACAAGGGATGACGGAAAATCGTTCCACAATACATCACATTTATTTATATTTCTTTGCTTAAAAGCAGAAAATTAATTTTTATTTCTAGTATTCGCACTAAAGCAAGACTGCAAAACTAGATTGTTAGCATATTTTAATTAATGGTAATAATATCCCGGGATTTACAAAACGGTCCCGGATTAGATGCCTTAGTCACTAGCAGGGATGGAATTTCAAAATTTCAAAATGTGCCAAATGGTCTTAAAAAATAGTGGCGAAAACAAGATGAAAGTGCCACAAAATTAATTTTTTGTAAGGCGTTTTAAGAACAATATATTTTTAAAAATAATATTTTTAAAAAACACTGAAGTAATATAATAATTATTAATTAGCTAAATTATTACAGTAAATCACTTTTATGAAGGATTCCTTAGACATATACATAAATTCATAGTAAAATTACACAGAATTCCAATTACCGAGGGAAATACACCGAAATGTAGGTATTATGACATTTTTACACACATACACATGTACATATATACCTATATGCGAAATAATAGCAGTGAGACATTTTCTGTTTCATTCATTCTGTTCATTGATTATTTTTCGAAGGATTTTATATAAAAGTCTAATTCATAATTTAATAAACAAAATACATATAATGTACAAAAATCGCCATTTCAAACTTTGCACAAAATTTAGCAGGTTTTCCCAGAATTCAGAATTTTTAAAGAGACTCCAATTTTTTTGAAAATTTTTTAATGGATGAAAATATATGACATTGTCAGAAAAAGAAATATCAAAAATCATCGGGATATTGCAGAAACTTGCCCTTTCATTTAATGGACTATAAAACTGCAAACTTAGAATATTTCTAAAAATTATGAATTAAAAGCTTGTTGTTCGCAACACACTTACTTTTCGAACTGCGTATTCACAATAGAATTCATCGGTTTGTAAATATTTCTCACGGCCCATATTTTAATTTTTAGTGCTTTTAATTTTCCTTTTATTGTATTTTTTTAATCTATAATGTGGTATGTGATTTTTTCTCTTTTGGCCACTACCTTTTATTTTAAATTTCTGTATTTTATGATTGTGTCAAAGCAGGATGAATTGTGCCAAAAGTGCCTCTGTGAATGAAAGTGCCAAAATTGGCACTATTGTGCCCACTTTTCCCTCACTGGTCACTAGTGAGCAAACCTTTAAATATTGAATCATGCATGCCAGCTACATACCTGTCCATATCTGAATGGCCGTAACTGTATGTTTGTAAATATAAAATAATGGGAATAATTTTTCGAACTGTGCAATGTTGCAGACTTCCATTTATATTTTTGTCCGACAAAGGGGTAATAATTTAAGTACTGAGTGTACTATTTTCCTACTAGACTCAATTTGAACGTTCAGTGCCAGTTTTTAAGTGCTAGTTTAAACTTAAAGCAGGCAGCTCGAACCTATAAACTAAGTTTAAGCCAAAGGTCATGCTCTGAAAAACTGGCCCTTAATCTTGTAAGTTAAAGTTTATCTTGAATTTAAAATTGGACTTAAATATTTAATACATAATCAGCTCATGTATTTATCTTCAGTTTTGTTTTAGCCTACGTAATAGGTTTTCGCGGCTAAATTAGATTTTTTTTTGAAAATTACCGAACATTTTTCCACACTCTTCCCAAGTTGCATTTTGCATTCTGCCATTTTTCCCTGACAGGGAAGAAATTCTGAGCCGCGCAACATTGCTACCCCTATTCCTCTACAAATGCAGACAGGGCTGCCAATTTGGCTCAAACCGTTCCATTTTTGGTCCCTTTTTTACATCAAATGGCACATAATTTTGTAATTTGGCCTAAAGTGCCAAAATGGTTTTTTTGAAAAATAGTAATATTTCAATACATTTTTATGAAATCTTTGCATGTACTTCCTTTTCTCAACTAAAATTTTGTAATTTCTGTAGTGTATACAACTCGTTTATCTTACTTTGGCATTGGACTTTTGCTTTAGGAATACGTTTCTAATTTTAATGCTAAATGGGAAGAATTTAAAAGAATGACACTTTTTTGGCACTTTTATTTTTCTATTTGGCACATTGGCTAAGCAAAGTTGGCAGCCCTGAATGCAGAGATAAAACGACAACAACGGAAATGGACAATGCATTTTGTTTTGAGAACAGTTTCACTGAGTCGTTCGTGCTGTGCGAAGGTGTTTATTTTACATTTTAATTGCGTCTCTGGCATAAATTGATATGCACCTAGCTATAGTACCTTTATAGCTCACCACAAGCTGTCGTAAATAGAGTTAAAGACAAATTTAAGCATACAATTTATTGGCAATTCGCTCTTGTGCTTTAAAGAAGATGGTTATTGAGTAGATGCAAAAGTGCAGCTAAAATTATGCTATAAAAGTTTGTAAATCCTTACATAATCCTATCCGGTTAAAAAAGAAAAAAAAACGCAAAAAAAACAAACACAAAAAAATCGAAACAATCGATTCGAAACCATTTGTAGGCCATCTGAACAAATTGGGGCGCTTTTAATAATATAAGGGAATTTTTTAGCATCGTAATAAATGTGTGCCATAATTGCATTTCATCTTCATGCCACTGCATAAATTGCAAAAACATTTGAATACATCGGAAAAAAGGCTAAACAAAATAAGTGCAGAAAGAGAAGATTTATGGATCTCAAGTAGTCGATTAAATACCACATCCATTTATATTTCTTAGTATTTAGATTGAGTAAACCGCCAAATTGGCTTCACAAAGCTCTATCCTTGACATTTACATTATGGCCTGGGAGCATGGCAGCTCTCCGGTGGACTGGTGTGAAGGAAATTACCAGATATCTTCAAATATAGCTGAATTTGTAAATACGGTAAGTCTTTAAATTTAGCTAATGTATGTATGTATGTTTGTTTGTATGTTTGTAGATGTGTATGTAAGGTAATTGAAACTGCTAATTCATATCGGAAACGGAATAGAAGAGTCACCATAAAAAAGTTCCGTTTGACATTCGATTTTATTTTCATTTAATTTTATCAGAGTTTTGTTTGTTAAGTTAATGAAATGTATAATATTGGAACGAAAGCGCGATTTATAAAACGTGCTTACTGTACGTTTGTAATGTACATACATATGTATGTAATTTTTATATTATGTAGATATTTATGTATCTATTAAAAATGTTTACAGGTAAATTAATAACTTTACGTCAAAAGGCAATATTTTGTTCCAAAAAAAAAAACACCATACGAACAACACGTGCTTAGCAATGTCTTACGAACGTGTACGGTGTAAATACATACGTATTTACATATACATATATGTATGTATGCATGTACATATATATCTAGGTAAGACTGAATTCGGCGGTTACATGACATAAGAGTAAGAGTAAGAATAACAGATTAAGTCGACTCTGTGATCGTGCGAAAGCAGGATTTGATACAAGTGAGGGATTCCAGTTTAGTTATAAATTATAAAAAAAATTAATATAATAAATAATAAATATAAATAAAAAATAAGCGAAAAATAAGGAAAATCAAAATAAAATAAATATTTAAGTAGAAATGAAAAAGATAAAAATATTAAAAAATAAATAAAATACAATAATTAAATTAGTTAAAATAAGGTTCAATAAAATGTTATAAAAAAATAAAAAAAACAGCTTTAACTTCTATTTTGTAACTCTAGAGTTTTGTTAAATGTTTGAAATGTTTTTCAGGTTATAATTTTTTTGTTATATTTTTTTAATTTCTAAAGAAAAAAATCTAGTAAAACCAGTGCACGTTTAAATCGCGTTGATGTTTAATACTTTTTTTGCTGGCGGCTTTTTCATATAATATATATATAATGTTTTTGCAAACGGTCTTGCGCATTTTATCCAACAAGAATAAAGGTAACAAGGTAAAAAGTGCAAAAAGCCGCCACCAGAAAAAAAAATTAAAAATCATAGCATGAACTATATTGCAAATATTTAACATAAATCACCAGAAAAAAAAATTACACTTTTGATACCCAGTGTAAGTCATCATCATCTTTACGGTAGATAATATACGTATTTATTTATGTATGTAGGTATCTATATAATGGTAAATTCGGCGCGAAATCAGGATTTGAAAAAATGTGAGGGATTAAAGTTTAATTATAAATTATAATAAAATTTAAATAAATTGAATTTCAAAATAGAAAAAATATAATTTATTGGTTAAACAATTAAAATAAAAAAACTAAATAAAAATAAATGAATATGAATTTAAAAAAAGTGCCAAAAATACAAAAACTAAATTAATTCAAACAAGGTATAATAAAATACAACAAAAAAATATAAAATAGCAGCTAAAACTTCTATTTTGCAAACTCTAACTATGTAACCATACCATACCATAAATTTTTACAAAAATTGTTTCTTTCCCTCATAATCATCATAATCTTTTAGCGCTACAGCTCTTTGTGAGCTTGGCCTGCTGCACATAGCACCTCCACACAACTCGATCCTTCGCAGCCTCTCTCCAGTTCCTTATCATTAGTTTTCTCGTATCTTTTTCCAGCTAGTCCGACCATCTTGATCTTGGTCTACCCTTTGCTTTAGTGGTGAATGCCTTGGCGTCTACAATTTTCATTTGCGCTCTCATCGTCCATGTTTCAGATCCGTACCAAAACAAAAAAAAAAATAATGTCATCTTGCATCGCCTGTTCAGAAGCTTAGATTTGAAAATTTTAAGTTGAGGCGCATATGAACGTCTGTCTATGAACGTCTGAAGTTAGCACTACACTTTTCGAAATTCGAAAAATTAACTATGGCATTAACTTCTGCAGCTTTTTTGTTGTAAATTTATTGCGAAAAGAAAAAAATTTTAGCTCTCGTTTTTTAAGAAAAAATGGTATTTAGTGCTAACTTGACAACATACACAGAACCGCTGAGAGTCACTTTTAACATTCTTCACGTTTCCCAACAATTTAATTTTTAAAGTTACTCACAAACTCACACACACATTTTCATTTTCAATCTCAAGCAACAACAATTTCGAACAATTTCAATTTTTTATTTTCACTTTTATATGATTTTAAGTAAAAAAAAATGTGTTTGTAACACCGTGCACATGATAGAAGTGAAACTTCTTAAAAAATGTGTGAGTACCAGGTGCCTACTCACGAAATTGGATGTGTAAACATATGTTTACGGTTCGGCAAACCATTAGGCGATTGAGTTATGTACATACATAGGTTGGGTTAGAAATCAAACAATAATTTCATTTCATCTTATTAATTTTCTGATATACATACATATAATTTATTTATTCATTTTCCGGTAACACCACCTTATATGAATTCGCGCTTCTAGCATCCATAGGACCGGGTTGTAATGGAAGTGATTGTATGTTTAACAAATAAATGAAAATGTTTATAATGAAATCAATAGATCCTTACGAATTCACCATTACCAAGGCACTAAGTAACGTACGCACTTTTGTTTGCAAAATGCATTTAGTCTGTTCCAATAGCAGTCCGGTTTACAGGATTTAGTCAGAACTTACAGGAAGTCGTTCCTATTGACATAAAACCTGTAAGTGGGAGCACATTTGAGAGAGTAACTGAGCTACTGTTCCTAGTCAGAAGTTACAGGATTTAGTCCGGAGTTTTTTTTTCCTGTAAGTTCTTGAAAAGTGTCAAACGATCAGTTGATTTGCATGTGCAAGCAAAAACAAACAGCGGTGAAAGCAAAGTACCTTATATTTGTAAAAAAAATGTAATTAAACAACGAAATGTTTGAATATGTATAGATTTTATTAATTATTTAGTGATATTTCAGCTAAATCAGTGTTGTACAGACGACATGTAAACAAACCGAGTGACGTTTTTACAGGAAATAGTGCTTTTTGCGTTCCTATGCACTTCTGCATCTGTTCTCCTTTTACTCTCATTTGAGAGAGTAAAATTGTAGTTTGACAGTTCCACAGGTTTTAGTCCGAAGTTCAAAGGAACAGACTAATTTATTTAAGTTGAAAGAAGACAAATTCCTTTGTTCGGCATTTATTCTTATTCGCTTTCTATCTTCCAAGGCGAATTCATATATTCTTATCACGAATTCATATATTCATGAGGTAGCAAGAGTATAAAAACATAAAATTACCTTATAAATTAAAAGCATAAGTATCACATGTATGCGTAGTCCAATTCACGAAATCATTTCATCGATCTGAGTAAAAACTAAGTGCATAAACTCTATTTCGCGTTAATTGAAATCATGAAATGGTGTTGATTCATTTAGTTTCTACTCAAACGCATGAAATGATTTCATGAATTGGCCTACGCATAATTAGTCTGCTCCAATAGCAGTCCGGTTTACAGGTTTTAGTCAGAACTTACAGGAAGTCGTTCCTATTGACATAAAACCTCTAAGTGGGAACACTTTTGAGAGAGTAACTGAGCAACTGTTCCTAGTCAGAAGTTACAGGATTTAGTCCGGAGTTTTTTTTCCTGTAAGTTCATGAAAAGTGTCCAACGATCAGCTGATTTGCATGTGCAAACAAAAAACAGAAAGTGGTGAAAGCAAAGAACCTTATATTNAACAGCGGTGAAAGCAAAGTACCTTATATTTGTAAAAAAAATGTAATTAAACAACGAAATGTTTGAATATGTATAGATTTTATTAATTATTTAGTGATATTTCAGCTAAATCAGTGTTGTACAGACGACATGTAAACAAACCGAGTGACGTTTTTACAGGAAATAGTGCTTTTTGCGTTCCTATGCACTTCTGCATCTGTTCTCCTTTTACTCTCATTTGAGAGAGTAAAATTGTAGTTAGACAGTTCCACAGGTTTTAGTCCGAAGTTCAAAGGAACAGACTAATTTATTTAAGTTGAAAGAAGACAAATTCCTTTGTTCGGCATTTATTCTTATTCGCTTTCTATCTTCCAAGGCGAATTCATATATTCTTATCACGAATTCATATATTCATGAGGGAGCAAGAGTATAAAAACATAAAATTACCTTATAAATTAAAAGCATAAGTATCACATGTATGCGTAGTCCAATTCACGAAATCATTTCATCGATCTGAGTAAAAACTAAGTGCATAAACTCTATTTCGCGTTAATTGAAATCATGAAATGGTGTTGATTCATTTAGTTTCTACTCAAACGCATGAAATGATTTCATGAATTGGCCTACGCATAATTAGTCTGCTCCAATAGCAGTCCGGTTTACAGGTTTTAGTCAGAACTTACAGGAAGTCGTTCCTATTGACATAAAACCTCTAAGTGGGAACACTTTTGAGAGAGTAACTGAGCAACTGTTCCTAGTCAGAAGTTACAGGATTTAGTCCGGAGTTTTTTTTCCTGTAAGTTCATGAAAAGTGTCCAACGATCAGCTGATTTGCATGTGCAAACAAAAAACAGAAAGTGGTGAAAGCAAAGAACCTTATATTTGTTATACTGCGGTTTTCAAACTGTTTGTATATGCAGAGTTGCGACACATTGCAACCATATACATTGCATATTTTAAGTATTCAAAATAGCAATGAACAATTTTCCTGAAATTTACATTTTTAAAACACCAATGGTAACCAATAACAAACGAAGCATCAACATTGTTTCTGATGCACTAATTGCTCTAGCGATGCGTTTCGATAACTTTTTTTATGCGTTTTGGAAAAGTATACATTGTCAATATTTTGTAGCTCGGCGTTATGGAATATTATAGTTTGTACGTATGCAAAGCAATTGACGTTTTGGAAGTCAGCCATACTAACGACTGATACATTATTATTTCATATCAATAATTGCATAAAAAATGACATTTCTTGCTCGCACTTGATTAAAAAGGATAAATATTTCACATAATTCATTTATTTGCAACAGCTGACGAGCG